GGAGGGGCAGGCAGGATGGTGTGGTAGGGATAGGGAGGAGGTGCTCACTTGGGAGGGGCAGGCAGGATGGTGTGGTAGGGATAGGGAGGAGGTGCTCACTTGGGAGGGGCAGGCAGGATGGTGTGGTAGTTGTAGTGCTGCTGCTGCTGGCTGATGATCTGAAGCTGCAGGAAGAGCTGTTGCTGCTGCAGGATCTTGGCATAGGAGGAGTCCAGCAGGGGGGGGGGCTCGCGTTCCACCTTCTGGTCGGGGGGGATGTATTGGTGATATTTTAGCTTCTTCACTTTGGGCTTGCTGTCCTTGGGTTTCTTGGAGCGCTGAGTGGCCCGTTCAGATCCGGTCTTCCCCTGGGCCTGGGGGGACACAGTGGTCTTTAACATGAAACGGCTTTACAGCACTGACAGACCACAGTGGGACAGGAGTCGTGGCCCTTGTAGGGGCAGAAGGAGGACAGTTCACCTTGACTGGCAGGGGTGAAGGCCGGGAGGCTGGGGGAGTTGCAGTTCCATTTGTCAGCTTCTGCTGCACTGGGGGCACCGGTGGGGCAGGAGGAGGCAGGGCAGGGGGTGGGGCCTAAGGGTGACACACATACATATATGTTAGGAGATGGTGGTATACAGATGGCCTCAGAGTCCACAGAAAGATCACGCACCTGCGTGGGGGAGGGGTCACCGACCCCGAGGCTCGACGTGTCCGGGGGTGAGGGCTGGCTGCCCAGCTGGCTTGGCGAGAAGCCGTCACTGCTGTCGTCGTCAAATGATGAGCTCTCCGTCACCGCCTTCGGGAAGTCTGAGAAAGCAGACGTATCCTATTATTATGCTTCTTTAAAGTCCTTCATCTGTGCAAGCTGATGTTGTGCTACGTTGGGGATTTTTGAACAGCTTGTCAACCACAGTGCTGTGTTTGCTGAACTAAAGGCAATTCCAGTAACAATTCTGGAAATTCTCAAAGTGCCATGATCACTGACCCTGGGTGCAGAGCATGATGGGAAGCACAATACAGACATGTACAGTTAAGTCCAGTCGAGTTATTAAATGACAGTTTGCTGTACTTTTCGGTAGCTGACTGACGGCTTGAGAGTGTTCAGCATGTTCAGTCACTCTTGAAACACAGACAGCATGTGACAGCTGGCCAGGAGCACGTGTGAGTGTGGCGCCCCCTACCGAGCAGGGCCTGCTTGACACTGCTGTGCACGGGCAGGATATTCTTGTGGATTAGCTCCATGGGCCCAGGCCTCTGTGCGATCTTGTCGTTGAGGTCATCCGCGAGTCGCGCCCTCTTCAGCTGCAGCTGACGGGCCTGCAGGGAGGGCTCAGCCGACGACTCTGCAGGCAAGACGCGCGCGGAGGCCAACGCCTTAGCAACCGTGATGGGACCGGGGGGGTCGCTAAGTGTGGGGTGTGACAGCGCGTCAAGGACATGGTCCAATCCCAGGCTAGTCCGTCTGCTGTACCTTGAAGGAGGTAAACTGATCTGCTGCATTTACTGTTGGGTGTTATTATTATTATTAAAAATCTATTTATTTACTTATTTTTTAATCAATTAATGAATTTATTTCTTCCCTGGGGGTGACTGGGGAGGGAGGGATTGATGTAAAATGCTGTTTGTGTTGATTGAACTACATTTTGTGTGTGTGTGTGTGTGTGTGTGTGTGTGTGTGTGTGCATACTTGTGTACTTGATGGAAAAAAGAAGATGTAAATAACGAAAGTGTTGTCATACTTCTGTACTACTGGAGGTTTCTGCTTAAGCATGACCTGATTCAATGGTCCAAAAGGAAGACCCTGGCCACAGAGGACACTCACCTTTCAGGATGTGCATCCTCACCAGCTCCGATCGCTCAGGCCTACTCCGGATCTTCCTCTTCAGGTAGTCTTCAGTCTGGGGCGGGGGGAGGGGCAGTCAGCAAGGGACTGATTGGCAGCTGGGCATGAATAGAAGAGGGACACTCACCCGCGCTCGCTCCAGACTCCTCCTCTGCTCGTGAAAGGCAGCCGGACTCTTTAGGGCTGGGGGGGGAGATTCAGTTTGCTCTTACTGTTTGTTGGAAAAAAGGAGGAAGGAAAGGCGAGAGCAGCCAGGCAGCCATGCTGGCAGCGAGCTTGCTTCCTTCAGAGTACCCGCTATCTCGTGCAAAGGCAACCGCAGACAGAAAGAAAATCAGGGGGCGCAGAGTCACAGAGGTGGAGCACAGAGCCAAAGGGCTACGAAGGGTGCTCTTTACTGCCTCTCACAGGGGCCACATGGAACTGCATCACCTTTACTCTTTCACACCCTCTGCTGTTTTCTGCAGTGCATGACCTCCAAGAACCCCAGCAATCACCCAATGGCACGCTGCATGGCCGAGACACGGCCTCATAATGGGGTGACAAGGGCCACTTGAAATACACCGCCCCCACTGGTCATTCACGCCTGCTCTCACTTGGGTTTTACCATCTAGGGCATATGTTTGGGCCACAGTGCGGTGAACTGAGACTCAAAGGATGTGACACGTGTGGCAGCTGAGAATCACAGGAAAAGAAGTCCGCATGGACCTGGATCAGGCCATCCAGAGTGCAGGATGAAGGGTCTGAGAGGATGCTGGACCACCTCCAAGGCCTGTGGGTGGGGCCATAAAGCAGCCCTGCAGCATGACCTGCTGACCCCGGTGGAGAGGAATAGAGCGAGAAGCAGGAAACTGCCCAGGTAGCGCTGACACTGCCTGGTGTGCAGAACCTCCCCTCACCAGGTAAAGCAATTTGTATACAGCGAACACATAGTGAACACACAGCGAGCACACAGTGAACACACAGCAAGCACACAGTGAACACACAGCAAGCACACAGCGAACACGTGGCAAGCACGCAGTGAACACACCGTGAGCACACAGCGAACATGGCAAACACACAGAGAACAGACAGTGAATAAGACAGTGAACAGACAGCAAGCACATGGCGAACATGGTAAAGACACAGTGAACACACAGCAATCACACAAGGAATGCCCAGTGAGCACATGGTGAGCACATAGCGAGCATACAGCGAACACACAGTGAATACACAGCGAGCACTCAGCAAGCATACAGTGAGCACACGGCAAGCCCGCATCCAGTGGCGACCAACCTCCCTAAATGCACTCACACCCACAAAAATACCCACTCACACAGGCCAGACACACACAAAATGGCCACGCCCCCCTAGTGGTTGTATCCGGCTGCATGAAGTGCAGGCAGCTGCTTGAGACGTGCAGGGCACGATAATCATCAGCACTGATAACTCACCCACGCGGCCAAGCTCACCATGCAGCTGCTGTAAGCTCACAGGGTGCTTCAGCTCTGCCACAAGTTGAATGTGTAGAGAGCCCTGTCCCAGGCCAAGAGGTGAGCATGCACCCCCACTGTGAGCACCTTTCAGCTGCTTCGAGCACTTACACCCAAGGTGCAGTACAAACTGCCATGACTCACAGTTCTGTCGACTACTGTCATCTGTTCAGCTCACAAACATACACTTGCCATCAGCCCTCAACCTTTGCTTCGCCACCGACTCTTCCTCTCCAAGAGTCGGCCCGCTTTGACGATACAAAAAAGCAGCCAGGAGCCTCTGAGCAGGAAATCAGCCTCCCGGTGGTGCCCTACACCCTCTGGCCCGGCGCTCGCCTCACGCGGCCGTCCGCGGCTTTCCCGGCTACACCAGAACCGTCTGCACACCTAAGCCTCACCACACTTACCCTCCAGTCAAGATATAACTCAAACGTGATACTGACAGCATCACAAACAAAGAATCAAACAAACAAACACTGTCGCCAGATGCAGGAGCGGCCGCCAGCCACAGTCGTGGGGAGCTTAGGAACGGTCAGGCCAGGCAGGTGTCAGGCCAGGCAGGTAACAGGCCATGAGGATCAAGATGGGTCAGCTGTACCCGACGGGACAGGATCCCGAAGCCGGAGAGGGCAGTGAAGGGGTGGGACTTACGTGGCATAATCCCTTGGCTGACCAGCTCTTCACGAGTCCGTCGCTGCTGAAGCTTCAGCTGAAGAACTGCAGGAGAAAAAGGGGGGGGTGAGCAAACATGGGGGCCAACCTGAGCAAGGAAGGCGGCTGGGGCTACAGCGATGCGGAAGGGCGGGCGGCCGTCATGGCTGATCAGCTCGCTGGCGCTCGTCACCCTCACACGCGCTCTTGCTATGCGCAGGAGCTTATCAGGCAGCAAGGGAAACATTGGGGGGGCGGGGGTTACACACTTCCTGTTTCTTCATTTACTTGAAACAGCACTAAGTGCTGGTTGGTTTCTACTCCTACCACAAACACAGGCACACACACACACTCATACACAGAGACACACACAGGTACACAGAACCGCAACGCAAGGCCTCGAAAAACCCCAACAGACTGCATTTATGTCAGGGGAGCCACACTGTCCCCTCCAGCAGTGAGGAAGTGGAACTCATTACAGGAAGTTCAATATTCAAACCGAGTTTCAAACTGCATTTCGAAGGGAGGGGGGACCAGGGTGCCGATCAATAACTCAAGCACAAGTATCTCGGTTCCTCATGTGACTTCCTGTTCCAGGGGCTATTTTCCTCCTTTTTAGGCCTTCATCTGAGGCATCTGATTCTGCGGGATAAGACCCTTTGCCAGTGATCAGGAGGTCACTAGTTCAAACCTTATAAATGGCAGAGCAATCCCACTGTCGGGCCCTTTAGCAAGGCCTTCAACCCCAGTCGCTCTAGGGATGCTAGCTGACCTCGCACTCTGAACCTCACTTGTATATTGCCTTGGACCAAATCATCTGAATAACTGTAATATAATACCGACCTTATATGCTCCCTGTCTGAAGTAGCCCTTCTCCCAACCACTAGGGGTTGCTTAGCACTGGAATTCTGTGTGACCTGCCTGGGTGAAAATCCAATCAAAGGGGTGTCGACAGTATAGCCAGTACTTGGAAAGGAGGCCGGATCAGTTTGCTCATGCCAAAGCCACCAGCTGAGAACTGTAATTCAGCAGATCCACAATGTGGCCCCATTTGCGGGTTAGATGCAGGGAGGTGGAAAAAAGTGGGGCCACAAGGAACTACAAGCCTGAATTTCATTGGACATTACATGCATTAATTTCAGAGATAACACATGTTACTGGAGACCCACAGAAACACTCCCAGCGTAAGCATGGCACCGGGGCTAGGGGCTCATGGACGTGCTGGGGGAGAGGTGGGGGCCGGGGCACTGAACATGTCAGCAAAAGAACCCACCCCTACCGATGCAGAATTTTAGCTGCCCAGATAAACACAGAGAAACACACACATACACACACACACACACACACACAGACTCTCACTGTGCTGGGAAGGACCCAGCCCTCAGTCCAAAGGTCACAGCTGCACAGTGCTCAGTGCCCCCCCCCCCCCACACCTACCTACCAGGCCTCTTTTCTATTTCCATCCACACTGTAACAGTGCCTAATGAACCCCCCCCCCCCCCTTTACAGAGTAGTACTGTAAATCAGGCAGATCGGCTAGAAGTGTGAACCAAGAAACCCTTGGGGACCTAGAGGGAGGGTCCCCGACCCAGCAACCCTCAACAACCCCCACTGAGAGCCTCAAAAACTCCAGAGCCCATCTTGACACCAGAACACCCCCCCTCAACTCTTGCAAGGTCTGCAGGCTGGTTGTGACCATGTGACCTTTAATGTATCTGAGAGCAGCGCACAGATCAGTACAGCAGCCGCGATTAGCAAAAATACACCATGGGTCTCCTCCTACCCACCCCCCAATCGCCTCTCCCACCTTCCCTGAGACTCTGACAGGCATGTCTCTCATAATCCAATCGGACGGCCCGCTTCTCAGGGCTGTCTCTGATTGGCCGTGGCACTCCCAATGGGGCGGGGTCAATGCGAAGTAGGGGGTTGGTGTCCAGCATGGTGACAGTCTTGACAGAATAAAAATAATCCTACAGTAAGTAGGAGAAAAAGTCACAAAAAAAGCTTAATTCAGTCCAATAGGGAGGAAAAGGATGACAAGCCGGGATATTTAAAGAGAGCAGCTCTGTGTCAGAGGGCTGATGAGAATGCAAGCTGCTGTCTGTGCTGTTCCTCTGGGACACGGCGCACAAACTCCGGGGAAAACACAGAGATAGACAAGCAGATCAAAGACAGCCCTGCATGCCCCAATATGCAATGTCAGGTAAATATATTCCAGGGTAAAAAAAAAACAATGCAACTTGCATACAAATCCTAATATCGTCCGGATACATGAAGCCACCACAAGCAGAGCAGCGGAGTCCTGGTGGGGAGGGGGGGGCTGATCCGCAGTAAGCTGGCCAGCACAGGCTGGGGGCCGGGCTCAAGAGAGAGGCGCGCAGGGCAGCTAGACGATCTGACAGCTTCTCCAGCTAGCCGCGATTACAGTCAGTCATTCGGCTAGGCACCGCTGTCATCTGCCTTCCCCCGGCCCCTCCTCCCTGCTGTCACCCCCCTAAAACACACGTCTCCCTCACCCCACCCCCCGGGGCCAATTGGCCCTGAATGATACAGCAGGCAAACATCTGTTCATCCATGGCGGTGACCTCACCACCCTGAGACGCATGGCCGGGGGGTGGGAGTAGGGGACGCAGTTGTCAAGCTCTGGGCCATAAACTGGGCAAGCAGAGTATCAGGAGTCACTGTTTGTGACAGAGGTGCAGTGGGGCTGTGAACTCAACGCACAGCCTATAGCCAACGGGGCCCCGCGGAAACAAGAATAACAGACTGAGTGATAAGCAGGGATACAAACCATGCCACGCACACTGCGAGTGCGGCTGGCAGCTGTACTCGAGCGCACCTCGAAGCAGAGCGCCACGGTTTGGGGTACCCATCCTCAAAACCGGTAAACAAGTCCCAAATTAGCCGGTCGGATCGCCTTTCTTCTCGGAGGCCCTTCCAGAATGCGCGCCGCCGCAGGCGGACGCTCCCCCTCGGACTGAAATAGCAAGGGCAGCTGCCCGGAGGCACTATATCCAGACTGCTTCACCTGTGCGGGCACAGCTAGGGTTACATGCTAATATTGCGACCTCAGGCGCCCGTAAGAGATGCGCAGATGCCCCCCTCACAGCTGCATTCTCATGCTCCTCACGCATTTCAGCGCAATTCGTCGCTAACATAAGCGACAGCCAGCGTGCATTAATGTGAGGACACAGACTTACACCACGATCCCGCACACATAGCACTGGGCTTCCTCTGTGCTACTGTAATATTGGCTCCAGCCACCAGAGGACAGCAATGAGTAGACAACCTTCAAGTTTGAGTTTGGTAACCTGCATGCCGTCCAGGGTCAGCCTCGTGTCCTGGGGTTGTCAGATGGCCAGATGGGGACAGTGCACACACAGTTCTGGGGTAAGAATTGTTGCCTCACACCTCCAGAGATGTGGGTTTGAGTATAACTGTGTGTAGAGAATGCATGATCCTCTTGTGCTCGACTGGATTGGCTTCCACAGTGAGGATGCTGCTTTGTACCCAGTGCTTGCTGGGACAGCCACCTGGGGCACCATGACCTCAATCTGCATAGAATACGAACATATGGTTCTTCTCATCACAGAACTCACCAGAATCACATGGCAGAAATTATCAACCACCCAACCACAGCTCTGCCTCCCTCTCTGCAAGACTCACAGTAACAACAAAGGCTTTTATTGCTCTATTTATGTTCTTACTGCTTTGGGAGGTGGGGTAAATGGAAATACACACAGAGGCACAGAGTCATGATGATGACTGAATGGACTTTGGGGTCCGCGGCCAAGCTGGCGCTTCAGGGTTTCTTCTTTGCAACTCTGACTCCACCCCCCCCCCCCCCCCACCCCTACCAACCCAAACCAGTCCCACCCAACATACATCTAGGGAACAAACAGAAACACAGTAGTCTGTATGAATCAAATTGGAGGAGGAATCCTTAACTGGGGTCTTGGATAGTGGGAACTGATTAATATCCCAGAATGCACCTGTGCAATAACCATCCAATGAGTTTTGGGTCAGGATTGAGTTGACAACAAAGGAAGGGAGTGAGGGAGATTCCATCAGTGGATTGTGCCCCCCTGGTGCCAGGCAGGGTCATAACAGCAGAGAAGGCTCTTGTGTGTGTGTGTGTGTGTGTGTGTGTATGTGTGTGTGTGCGTGTCAGCATCTAAGCCAGTGCGGGTGTCCTACCCAGAGGAAGCGTAGGAGCACAATCCCCACTGGAAAATGAGGAAATACAGGAAAAACACCACTGGAGCTCAGTCAATAGCCAGAAGGAACCCATTAATTCCACTCTCTCCATCTGACTTGGCAGGGGATTGAAATGCAAAGCATGCTGGGACAGCTCATCATCCAGGAGAGAGCAGAAATGACCCTCGCTTGTGTGGAGCTGTTTTCTCCCAGACTGCAGGCTGGTGCTCTCTCTCTGCACAGAGTGGACACCCCCCACCCCGCCATGCCACTTGTCTGGATCACATCTGCCCAAACAGCCTCTCTGCCTCTCGCCCCCTGCAGATGGGATCCTGCTATAACCTGCCATCAGATGTCCTAGTGTAGAAAACAGCCTGTGAGATGTACAAAGCAAAGGGGGCAATCCAAGGCTGAAAAAACATTTCCAGGTCCAAACAGAGCAGATACCCCTGCACCCACTCACCGTTCTTCCTCTCCTGCAGTGGAAGCAGACCCAGGCCTGCCTGAAGTGACAGTTCCTCCATCTCATTGGTCACTGCCTCGCTCTGTGGGCTGGGGGCGGAGCCAGGAACTGCACATGACACCCCCTCACTGGGGCTGGCCCCTACGCCCAGCGGGGGGTCCATTGTCGACAGGGCAAGGCGGGGGGGGGGGGGTTCTGCCAGTCCTGAGGGGCACAAACAATGTATTAAAAACAATGGTAAAGGGTGTGAAAGCAGACAGTCAAACGCTTAGTGCCCTTCCCAGCAGCGTGTGTGGAAAAGCACATGTGCCAGTATCAAAAAATGAGCTCGGAGTTTAAAAACACTGGAGGCCGAGGGGGTCCCCAGAGAGATACCAGCGGACCAGGCGCCCTGTTCATGCTGACCTCACACTGTGTCAGTGTATGAACCCCTCAAGATCCAGACAGAACGTAAAGAGGCCAGAGTAGGTATCCCGTGCATGACAGCCGGGCCTGGGTAGGGCACACACTCCTCACTGACAAATCAAGTGTGATTCTCTATAAAGAATCTGTGAAGGAAACCTTCAGAGAACCACAGCACCCCCTATGGGTCTCTCTACTCCACACATGCCAATCTCACCCAGCAGGGTCCACAGCCAGGCAAAACCACAACATGCTGCCCTCTTGCCCTGCAGGGCGCTTCCTGGTAGGGCGAGTGATGGTAGTCTGAGAAGGAGTACGAGACGAAGCAGAGCAGGAAATGGGCTGTGCCCCCACGTGGCCACACCCACCCCACGAGGCCACACCCACCCCACGCGGCCACACCCAACCCCTCGAGGCCACACCCACCCTACGTGGCCACACCCACCCCACGTGGCCACACCCACCACCCCACCCCCAGGGAAGCTGGAGAGAAACGAGATAGCCAGGCTACAACGCGTTGGGCACTTTAACACATCAAGGCTCTCAGTACCTGCATCTACGTTCCTGTTCTTGGAAAACACTCAAAATGCCAGATAAACAAAGGCCATGTACAACAGTTTTACGGAACAAAACCTGAAACATTTTATGGAAGAAGCTTTATTACCACAAGTACTTCCACAGAAAAATCAGCAAACTATATACAAAGGACATCAAATATCAATCATGAATTCTTTTATAGACTAGGGCTGCAGGATATCACATTGTGATTATATGACACATGCGCAATAATCATCAGGGCTTCAGATAATGGCTGTAAACATTTATCTGGACGACGGCTTTTCAGTACCATACGGACATTTACTTACACCCACAATATGGTAAGCAGATTAGCAGTGTGCCTAAAATATTAATGAGAAATGTATTGTGATGCCCAAAACTTAGTGATCTGTATTAAATAATGTTTAATGAATGTGTCGGACTATAAACTGCAAAAAGTACAGCCACACCACCAATGTCTTTATACTTTGTTTATCCGGATTATTTCCTCCTTTCAAAAAGATGTTATGGCTGCTGAGCCTCTCTTCACTTCAGTGTGTATCGTTTCCAAGATATACTAAAACTGTAGTATGTGGCGTGCTCCGCTAACAGAACTTAATAAACACAAGGATACGACGAATTTATACAGATTACTAACTTCTGGACGTCACGATACGACTTTCATTAATATTTTAGGCGTACTGCTAACCTACTTACCATATTGTGGGTGCAAGCAAACGCCCATATAGCACTGAAAAGCTGCCACCCAGACAAATGTTTATGCTTGTCATCTAGAGCACTAGTGATTCTTGCGCATGCACCATGTAATTGCGATTATACTGCAATGTGATATTGTGCAGCCCTAGTACAGACCATACAAATGAGGTATAATTTGTGGCCTGGTTCCCTCAATCCCTATGGTAACGGTCACTATGGTAAACTAAGACTTTCCAGGACACCGAACACCAAACTACAAACACCCTAAAGGATAACAGACACCCAACAAAAACAGGATGTGACCATTTAAGATGACTGCAGAACGCTGTAAACTTCTGAAGAAAAACTATAAGCATGCCGGATTTAAAAACACCTCGGACTTCCAGGGTGAGGGGTTCAAATCCTATGCTCTGTCGGGATGGAGCAGTCATGTTCTCCCTGTATCGCCCAAAAGCACATGGTGTATGAGTGTATCTGAGATGCTCCTACTGTCTGTGCCCCTTGGAGCTCCCTGGGATGGGGTCCACGCTCACAATGACCCAGTATAGAATAAGAAAGGATATTAAGCAACGGAAGACCGGTTTACAAAGCCATGGCAGAAGTTAAGTGTTGGGTCACCAGCCAGTGATCACACGCACAAGGCATCTCACAGATAGGAATCAAAAAGTTTGATAAAACCACAAGAGGGGACGGGTGCCAATTAAACCCAGAAACAGCCAGAGCATACCTGATTTATTTCCTCTTTGAGCAAGGGCTAGGAATTTCCATTTCAGCAGAACGACCTTAAGGGAAAAGCCAGACAAATTAAATATGTCAATGCAGCAAAAATAACATTTTGAAAAATATCAATAAAGAAGGCTGGGTGGATGCAGGTCTGCTGCTTCTAGCAGCTACTAAAATGTCTAGAGTGTCAGGTGAGAAATGTGGTTATTTCCTTCCAATTTGTTCATTTTTTGCAAATCTCTACCGTGGTTTGAGCATATGTTGGCCCTCAACTGCTCAAAGTAGCTCTGGTTAGGTGTCTTACATCATAGGGGTCAGCTACCAAGGATAGCCTTTAAAAGCCTAGTGCATCATCTTAACCTCAAAAAGGATGACAGAATCAGCGTGGTTCCCTGCATAACATCTGATCTACTTTAAGGGCTGTATTCACGCTGGCGTGACCCATTTCAGCTGCGCACTCATTTAAACATCCTCTCTTATCACCACGGAAAACCTGCGTGGGTCTCTGATATGCCTTGATCTCAATTTTCCGTCTGAACAAAACCACTTTCCTGACAGAAGGAGTTACGGCTGCTACTAATAAACGAAATGTTTTTCGGGTTTGTGGGGAAAAAAAAAATCTGTAATGCCAGAAGCATATGGCAGTACAGTCTCACTAATATAGAACATTAATTTCTTAGAAAAAATCCCCTTTGATAAACTACAACGGCTTTCAACCCTGAGATATTAAATTACCAATCTGATCAATTTTTACATCTCATAAAAAAAATTCTTATCGCTCAACCTATTTTCCGCAACAATAACAAACAGCAGAAAGACAAGCGCTTTACGAGTGATGGGCATCCGTTTTTCCAGTGAAAATTATGGTTATGTTAGGCGTATCGTTTACAGAAGTTTATCTCATAACAAAAAGCGAATCGGTTCAGAAGCTCTGATCTTAAACTTAGCGACTTCCACTAAATACAGAAAGATGACTCCTATATGCGACATGCGATCAAGACGATGTGACTGAACTTGTATCGATGACACTTGGGCTACATTTGGGAACACAACAGATAAAGTACAAATCTACAACGCAGCAGAGGGACCTGTCCGGTGCCCGACCACGAGCCCATTTAATCCGATATCTGGCGATCATCTTATGAATGCATTTAATTCTCATGTATATTCGAAGCACATGGTTTTCATCTGGTGCTGTCCTGCACCATCATCTCCCCATAGTCATCGCCGCGTACCTGATCCACTCACCTTACCGTCAGCACGTCGCCGCTGTTCGCTCGCTCCATTGCATCGTACCGCAGAAACGACCACAAATCACGACCGGCCTTCTGGGAGCGACACCTCCAACACAGCTGACAGGCAGCAACAATTGGCTTATCCGGCTGCACTGCGAACTCAACGTTCACCCTGTCGGCACATACACTTAAGGTAATAACATTAAATCTTATTATGTGTATCCGTTGTAGCATACACCTCACAAAAATAAATTTACTCTATTCAGATATATGTTGTTTAAATGCATTAATTAATATTGTGTTTTATATAAAGCATAAACCCCTTTATTAGTATGTGAAGTCGTTTCCGATTTACAATAAACTTCTACCGGAAATCTATCCCACTTTCTATCTGCCCCGCCCTCCACCTCACAGCACCACCAATCGAAAGAGGCATTTGAATGATTGATCGCCAACGTGTCAAATCGTAATCGAGAAACAGTGTGCCGCGATCGATTTTTGGATGAGAGCGCAGTCCTCGGTGACGTTGCGCCAATGACTTGAACGCTAAGCGCACAGCAGCCGTGATTCCCATCCAATCGGGGCACGAACAGCTCTGTTCCGCTGACGCAAGCAAAACTTTGCTGCGACAACTTTTGAGCCACACGCGAAATCAAGCATTCTCTGTAATACATAAGCAGTGCCCAAATATTGTGACTGGCTACATTATCACTTTGGAAACAGTGTATTAAAATAGTTATTTACCTATGAGTATTTCATGTTTCTCATAACATAAAATGTGAATAAAGTGTTACAGTTACAGTTAGCATCAAACTGGCTAAACTTAAAATATTGCAAATATTTCACTATTGTAGGGAAATCAAATTAAATCAAAATCCAATCATTCCTAATCAGTCCAAAATTATTATTATTATTAACACAGTTGAATAATCCCTTCCCCAAAACACTGCTGAACAAAACACCCATCTTATGTTCTTTGAATGGATTTGAGTTCGCCAGCTTGGTCCCCAGTGGCCTAGGGGGGCAATCTCATGTGGAGACTTAGTCTGTGTATTCCATCCTGTCATAAATGTGCCCCACTACCTGTACATTGTGTTCCACTGGATTACATCAAGGCCCATCTACCAGCTAGTTAGGCAGTTGTTGGGTGTCTTGTCCTGGGGATGACCTCCTGGCCATCACGCGAAGCATAATCCAGGCCCATATCCAAGATGGAATTTTAGTGGATTTCCAGAGGTTCAGACAAAAAGAGCAATAGGGGGTGGCTAACTAGAGAGGAATCCACCAAATTATATCTCCCCTTCAGCAAAAATCTTTGGAATAAACCAAAGCTAATCATTAGTTAAAGCATTTTTTTAGTCTTTGGGTAAGTTTATAGCACAATACCAGTGTTTTGGAAAAACCAGTTAACAAACAGTTATAATTTTAGATTTCACACCATGTATTTTTATTAGATATACTTTTATGATTGTGGTTTGATTTTGGCAGTTGGTATTTGCTATTGTAACTGTTTCCTTTTCTGTCAATTGAATTTTTAACTTTACAAATTTAAATCCAAATCCTAAAAATTTAAATCCAAATCCTACACGAATTATAGCATTTAACTGTAACGCAGATCCAAATATGTGGATATCTGACCACACTCTCTTGTTCATCCCAAAACAATGTTCCATCCAGAAACCAATACATAAGAAACAAATTCAGAAACACATTATAATATTATACTAAATACAAACAGTACTGGGTCTGATATAACAAAATTAATTTTATAACAAAAATATCGGTTATTAAAATTACAAATCTGATACAATATTTCTATCATTGTATGGAGTAGGACATGAACTACTGACACCCTGCCGTCAGGGTTGGTCGGACACCGAATATCGGTATCAGGATTGGTATCGATGATACCAGTCTAGGCATTGGATCGAATCAGATCAAAAAATGAAGAAATGAGTGCTATCATCCATCTATCTGCCCAAACGACACCAGCCTGTTGCTCCTCATGTTACGCAAGCCACGTAACTTTCTTCTTTGGTATACTGAACTATCACGAGACTGTACACTGTTGACTGCATTCCAGCTTCTTCAGCAAGAGTCGAGTTACTGAAAATAGCAGTTACAGAAAGTTACAGTTAATCACTCCTAGTTTATGATCCTTTGGCGACGCACAAAGGCTACCCTCCTGTAACTTCTAAACCCTAAGTTTAAGTTTTTGAGTACACATTTCCCAATTAATATTACAAAATGTATTATGTCTTGGCATGTATCCTGCTAATTCAGATATTTGAATTTGACCCACTCTTTCAATTGCTGGTGCACATTTAAATAATTTAAATCAGTGTATTAAAATGACTGTGGGAATAAAGCTCCCCCTAGTGGTTGTCATGGCTTTCGCAAAAATGTAGAATTTTAAGCAGGAATAGCCAATACTGTTTTTACTCGTGGACATTTGACCAGACCTCCACAGATATTCAGAATTGACCAGATGTGTGATTTACCCTGCAGTGGTTGGTTGATTCCTGCAATGTAAATATTTTGGGGCTGGCAGACCAAGGCATCAAAGCAGCGGTGAAGAAGAGGGGGCGAGATGTTTTCACACGAACTTTGCTCTTTATATCAGTATTTAAAAGGACCAATCACAAGGCTTCAAACATCATGGCAAACAAACATAGGGAAAAAATACATAATGTGACTTACAACAAGGTACACGGCCAGCAAACGAGCCAGAATATGCAAATCGCACCAAGCGTCCCAGCAACCATCCCCGGTCCCCACCTCAGCCTTGGAACAAGTCCCAAAGGTCCGCCACCAATGATGGGGGATTCCGTCAGCTCCCAAGCTCGCGGGCACCAGAGAGGCCGAGTAGACCAGGAGGCTGCTGGTGTTGCAGGTCCCCCTGGGTGGTGACCCTTCGATGTATGTGCTCCCCTTCTCGCTCCCCAAATCGGATGGCCTCGCACAGCCAGTCCAGATTCCTCTGGTACCAGCTAGCATACTCCTGATGTATTGTGGCCTCCCAGTTGCGACATGCCTCCCCACAATCACGCAGGGCATCTGAGCCAGCTGGGCCTCCAAACTGTGACACGCCTCCTCCCAGTCAAGCAGCACTGTCTTGCGGCCACTTAATGTCACCTCAGCCAGATACCTCTGGCAGTCGCACTCCTGCTCCCAGCTGACCAACTCGGCACACAACTGCTCCAGCTCCTGCCAGTCCTGCTCTGCGGACCCCCGCAGCCACTCCCGGTCCTGCTCACTGCACTGCACACTGCACCCAGAGTTCGCCCAGCTTGCGCTGTTCCCAAACCAGCTGGGCCTTCATGACATGGCATCACGTGTGCACACATAACTGTCTACACCTCTAATCACTGAATCCCCCACTATCACAACCTCCCTCTTCCTGGGGGGAGGGGGCTCCTCAGTGCCCAAGGACCCTCCTGCCTCCCCAGTCTCATCTGGCTCTAAAGCTGGAAGCATCTGAAAGTGGTTTGACAGTCAGTTCAGGTGATGCCACCTTTGTAAAGTGCGTACACCTTTCTTACGTCTATGACCTATGGTCACTGAGCTCTCTCGATCTCTCTGTTCATCATTCTCCCCTCTCCCCACTTGTGGTATACACCGTATCTCCCTAAAAGGCATATTAACTATCTCATCTGTCGTGTTGAATGATAGCCAGTTGCTCCTCAAGGTCATGATCCACCAGCTGACACTGCTTGCAGATTAAGTCCGACTGGACGCAAGCATCCGGAAGGGCAAATATCTTGTAAACACACTTAGCAGGCCCCATAATTAACTACACTCAGTGACAAAAAAAGTTAAGCACCCAGAAGTAATGGTCCGGCTAGGATGTAATTTGGTACATGTACAGACCAGCGATGGGTATATAAATGATTCGATTTGAAAGGAGCTGGCGCGTTTAATCACCATCCACAGAGGATGCCTCATAAAGACATTAGAAAGCATTACCAGCACTTGATGGAGTTTAATAGGGGTCACATTGTGGGTTTGCATGGGGCCAGGTGGTTATATCGTGCAAATGCCCATCATGTAGGGCATTCAAATGTCAGTCGCCTGATGTTGGGACCAATGGGTACATGAGGGTACACACACACACACACACACACACACACACACACACACCGTGAAGGTTCTGGTCACCCAAAACAGAACACATCAAAGGAGGATCATCATATTGTGTGCCAAGCATTACAGAATCCCATGACATCTGTGCCTGCCATTCGGACACAGGTACTGGACTCTCCACAGCACCCTGTGTCATCCCACACCATGTCTTGACGCCTGGCATCAGCCAGACTATGGGATCACTGTCCCATGTGTAGGCTGCCGTTAACACCACCACAAAGATGGCTGCATCTGGAGTGGTGCCATAACCGGGAGGCCGAGGACTGATGACAAGTGATGTCAAACCATGTTCAGTATTACAACAGGTGACTGCTGTGTGTGCATATGGCAGCACTGAGGGGAGAGGAGCAATCCTGCCAATGTTGTGGAGAGACACACCTGCTTTACTCCTGGCATCATGGTGTGGGGAGCCATAGGGTATGACATCATGGTGTGGGGAGCCATAGGGTATGACATCATGGTGTGGGGAGCCATAGGGTATGACATCATGGTGTGGGGAGCCATAGGGTATGACTTCAGGTCATCTCTGGTAGTGATTTGGGGGACCCTGATGGCAAAGCACTATGTCAGTGACATCCTGCATCCACATGTATTACCCCTCCTGAGACAACACCCTGGTGCAGTCTTTCAACAAGACAATGCCCGTCCACACACAGCACATGTGTCTAAGGACTGCCTGCATCATGTTGAGGTCCTCCTGTAGCCAGCCATGTCCCCCGATCTTTCCCCAATTGAACATGTATGGGATCAGCTTGGACGTCAACTCAGACCCAGTGCCAATCTGTAGGATCTTGAGGGCCAGTTACAACAGCTGTGAGCTGACTTGCTGCAGGAGAGGATACAACTCCCTTCCGCACTGTGTGGCCTCACGTATCCAGACTCGATGATATTATAATCATCGCGATACAGTCATGTGACCTTTCACCACGTGCAGATTGGTTTAATTTCCACTACTCCGTCTGGGTGCTTTTTTGTCACTGAGTGTATCTCACCATGACCAGCCCACTATATTTATATAGAGCATTTAACTTTTGGTTGATTTCATTAACATATAGTTAATACAGTGCAGAGTACAATAAAACAGTAAGTTAACACTTTTTGAACTTTTTAATTATCCGATAGGGTGAGAGAGATAAAACCTTTAAAATTAAGCTTAAAATAATTCATGGTTAAATATTAAAATAACCAAATTTACTATTACTTACCACAAGGAATGACTTCCTACTGAACCATGTGAAGTTGCTCTTCGGGGGAAGAAAAACCACAAAAAAACACTCCCACAGCAGGTAAAGTGGAATATGTCCTCCCTGCCCCGACAGGCAACTGTTTTTTTTGGCGCTAGTTAACGTTACTAATGTTAGGCAATATTGCCCGACGGGTGTTTTTTGCTTAGTTACGGGGACAGAAACGCCGCTCACGCGAAACCCACAGCTGCAACTCACTATGGGTAACACTCGCTCTGTTATTAAGAAGGACAAACAAGCATTCACGCAGAACGAAAAAAACAGCCACCCACGTAAATTGTACTAGTACGCAAACACACAAATATACTCCCCCAAAAAATTGCTGTTACACGCTCACAACACAAGTGTACACCACATATACACAACTCTCTCTTAGTGCAGCAATCCCAACCAACTTTTATTATGTGATTTGTTGGAAGTTCTGGCCAAAATCAGGTATACAAAATTTCATCTTTTTTATGTCCAATGGTTTCCGAGTTATAAGCTATTTTGAGTTATAGTGTCCCGTTATTGGGTGATTTTTTTACAAAATTTGGGGAGTGGCTTCAGAGTATTGTATCAGCTATAAATAAGTGTGAGAAACACACGTTTCATTGATGAGAAATGCTTTAAGTGCAAAAAGGCCACACCCAAGAAAGTCATTGGCCTATAGCATCACAACAATTTGCCAGATCGAAATTCTGCACCACTCCACAAAACGTTGTGCTTTTACACCTTAGGGTCTCTCTCCCTATATTGCTTTACTGCAGAATAATAATAACAATTATTATTATTAAAACCTAGCAAATAGGGTTCCAGCAAACAATCCAATCCAATTTCTTGTCAAAGGGGTGCAAATGAGGATTTATGTGCATTTGTGCTGCTAGGACAAAAAATTGCCAATGCATACTTGTGTACCACGCATGCCCATTTCTGCAGAAACATGCAAGTATGCACACTTCAGCACATCAAAGGAGTTGGTGATAGACTTCCGGCATGACAAGGTGCTCCTGAGACCTGTCACTATCTAATGGGAAGAAGTGGAGGTTACGTAATTCTACTAGTATCTGGGGTCCCCTTGAACAGTGGGGGGATGGGGGTCCAAGGCTGTATAAGAAATGCCAGAGCAGACTCTACTTCAGGAGGCTCAAGTCTTTTGATGTGTGCAGAAGCTGCTGGTGATGGTTTGCCAGTCCACAGTGACCAGCTAATATTATACTATACTATACTATGGCAAACTATTCACAAAGTTAACCACTTCATTTAGCCACCCAATGGAATTCCCAGTTTAAATTAGTAACTTTATAATATTTGTTTTCAAGTAGATTTAAGTAGGACAGCTGAGTTTGTCTGACTTGTGTACGTGTACAAGTACACAAACCTGAAGAGCTACTCATCAGAAAAACATTACAGTCGCAGCTTCCCAAACCCTGTATATGAAGTCAAGACGAAATAAAAGACATTTTGAAAACTTGTCTAATTATCTACATTCACCACTCTTTACACAGCACCAATGCTGGGGGGTGGGGGTGGAGAAATAGACAGCATTCTCCAGTAATCAGTAACAAATATTTACGACTCAAGTGACTAGCCCCACATTGGCAGAATATACTAAATTACACATAATTTTTTAATCCCTCCATAACTGGAGGGATTAAGCATTTAAGGAGGAGCTGGCGCACGAAGACAAACAGGCTGAGAGACCAAGGTGAGCGGGGTCTGGATGCTGGTCCCCTGGAGCGTTGGCGTTTCCGGGCGGGGCTTTGGAGTCAGCGACTGACTGTGGCTCTTTTCACCCCCATGATGTGGAATGTGCCGGCGGCAATTTTCTCGTACAGGAGAAACATGAGGGCAGCTGTGAGGATGGTCTGTAACAGCTTGGCTTCCAGGCCCTTGAACAATCCCATGATGCCGTGCTTCCTGAGGGGACAAGTGGAGGAGGTTGGAGGGTGTCTGAGCTGCATGGGCCTCTTCAGTACACATGCTTACCTGATCCTGCTGCTCAGCAGATACACAACGCTCTTAAGGCTGCCCAGCAGCCAGGACCTGTCCCCTTGCTGCCTGCACTGACTGAACTGAAAAGGGCACATGTCAGGAGGAGAGTGACGCCGTAGGAACACACAGCCCCAGCACCCCCACACTGCAGAGCCACATGGCCAAGAGGCGTATCTTTGCCACGGAAGCTCTAATGTCAAAACATATTCCTCACAAAACTTACATTGAACCTCATATTAGCATTAAAGGGAAACTGAAGCATAACAACTGAATAACGAACTATTTTGGTACATCTGTATGCGATGCACTCACCCTCAGCACAGACTGCACCGTCTGCAAGGGGTAGGTGGCAGTGGTGGCAATTGCCTTGGCTACAGCCCCAATCAGGAACACCTCCAAGGAGGACAACTGCAACATGCACACAGAGAGTCAGGTGCAGTGCGACTGGCATGTGGACGCGTGTGCACATCATGAGTCAGGTGCAGTGCGACTGGCATGTGGACGCGTGTGCACATCATGAGTCAGGTGCAGTGCGACTGGCATGTGGACGCGTGTGCACACCATGGAACACACAAACAGGCAGGGTGTGGCTGTACCTCTCTGGGGACCCCCCTCCGCAGCTGTCTCTTCAAACCCTCATAAATCATGAACTGGACCGCCGGGTTCAGCACCAGCAGTAGGGATGGGAAGGTACCATTCCAGAGGGCTGAGACCCCCTCACGCTGCATGATCTGTACCAAAGCATCTTAGGGGGACACAGCAGGGCAGTATTCAACCTAAACCAGAACCAGTGCTGTGCCCTCAAAGCAGCTATGACTATCTGCAATGTCCTTCAAAGCTCCCAACATATTATTATGCACTTTCATACTGCCAGAACTTTTTTCTGGAACCAGGGACTTTTGTTGTATCCACACCACAGGAACTCGGCCTGATTGTAGTTCCTCTGTGGCAGTTCCAGAACCCTTTTTTAGTGCCTACTTCAAACTAGGTACTTTCTGTTTGAACACCAACTACTGAGTAGGCTCTTACAATGATAGCTTGCTGCTTGCTTGACCACAAGCACCGACGCTAACTTGGAAGTTACGCGGAAGTGCAGAAAAATAGATGTAGAGGAGCAAAAACTGAGCAGATGGAATTATTTTTTGTACCCCAATTACAATTAATACATTTTTCACTTGCTTCTTCATACTTCTGGATTGGAAAATTTGATTGCTAACCAATATACTTTTGTCTAATATCGCTGGTGCCGTGCAGTTAAACTTGCCAGTGCTTATTATTGGGATAACGTGACATCACCTTTTTATTATGTGGAAACATAAAGATCAATCTGCTAGCCAGATTTAATAAGAATCATGAACATGTCGCAGGTCATATAAGTAAAATATAAGAAAAAGGCTGTGTCCTGTTTTGATTGTGCTCGATCCCCCCAATAACTAACTAACAAAATGACTTATTTATCTTCTGTTGTTTTAAAATTATGTGTGAAGTTTAACCTACAAACTTTTTTGCGTCTCTCATGTTTATTTAGCATAAAGGTCCCAGTTCCTGTTCTGCGGTGTGAAAGCAACTCACGAAAGTGGCCAAGAGCTACACAGGTCCCAGGTCGAGACAGGCCAGGGACTTGTAAACCAGGACCAGGTTCCGGAACTTCAGTGTGAAAGCGCCTATTCTGGACTTGCATCCAATTTAGGGTTATTCATGTCCTGTGACCTGTTATTCCAAGGATAAAGTTTTAGGCTTACTGTCACCTGTATACATGATTATGAAAGATGGACTGATGGATAGATATAATATTCTTTCAACATGTGATGATGTACAGTGATCCCTACACATTTTGGTCATTTGCAAATTGACTGTAAACAACAAAAAGGAATATTTTTGGAGCTTGGCAAAAAATTTCAGAAACTCACAGATGGCGCTTCAGACGAAAACAATACAGAAAATTATTTGGATGGATTTTAACATGCAAAGTCTGTGTAGAAACTGGTAATAAATCAAATTTTTATGTTATCGTTCAGGCTAGCAAACCGTTATGGGTTATGGGTGCCCAAGTATTATTCACGAAATTTCACATTTGCAAGGATCTTCCACACCTAATCATTGTGAATGTGAAGGGGTTACTATACTGTATACTGTATATTACGAAGAACAGCTGTAAGCATGCAAAACCACATTTTAGCCAGTAGAGGTCAGTAATTAGTACCTAACCCAACTAACCCAAGGTTGTCAGCCAGAAAGGGACATTAACTCACCCAGAATGCCCGTATAGTGAGTGGGATGGATGTCTGTGTTGCGAAACTTAGCCCCCTGCAGCTTGAGCCTGGTGTTGACCACCCAGAGTGGGGTGGTCACCAGGACATTCACTACACCTGCACCAACAAGATAAAAACCGGCCTTAACCTTGGAGTCAGCTGGCATCAGGACAGATAGGAGTCAAAGTAACAGCATCACCTGCAGCGATGCCGATGATTAGGTCTCTGCCTGTGGTCGACCTCTGCCCCTTTAGCCAGGTAGCTTTCAAACTATGGAAGCAATAGAAGTAGACGAAGTTGGAGCAGCACAGGCTGCAGATGACTGGGAACCAGCCTCGGAAGGGAGCCAGACTGTGGGGACGGAGGAATGAAAGAAGAGATACACTGATTTTTACAGCCAGCATGAAAAGGAGAGGTGTTTCAACCAAGTGGTTTTTCTGTGTCCCCATTCATAGGAATCCTTTTAACGTCTGTCAGACTTACAGCCCCTCTTCCTTGATGATCTCTGCGAGGATTGCTGGTGTGGAACTGGCTTTCCTATTCTCATCCACTGCAGTGTCAAGAAATGACGGAGCACCAGGTAATGAGAAGTAAAGGCCTTCGGAATGATTACATTAAAAACAAATCTGCAACTACATACAGGATTCACTGCAACAATTGTAAATGACAAACGATTTACCCTGTTGTCATGCCACGTTCGTCCGCGTGGCACACAGGAGGAGCGAAGGAGCGGGGCATGACAGAAACCCCCCCCCCCAAAAGTCCTTAGTAGAGTTGGTTGAGGAGCCAACTCGTCCGTTCCTCCCGTATGCCACACCCCCTTGTTAACCTCTTGTGCAATCCCGATGTCATTAGCTGTTTCCAGTTGTTTTCAGTAGTCCTATGTATTTAACTCCGTGCCAAAGTACGTTTCCCCAGTCCTGTCATTGAGGTCGCTCCCTGTATTACCCCGTGTTCCTAGCTGTGTTCCCCAATAAATCCGTTGTTTCCCGATTCTCCGTCTTCCTGCTCCTGCTTCCCCGATCCGTGATGTGACACCTGTCTCCAGTGATTCATAAAAACACATATTTTCCTATTTTTATGATTGTGTATTATTCAAATAAAGGGTTAAAATACCTTGAAGGCGGAGTCTAGCCGTGTCCAAAGGGAAAAATACAGTCATCGCGGTTACACTGCCCTGTAGAAAGACAGTACAAAACGTTTTCCGTGTGTATTAAGATTTAATACAGTAACACGTACGCTTGCACTAGTGCATACGGTGACAACGTGGTAAGGGATACAATGCTAACTAATTTAACAAGGACAGAAGCATGGCGATTATTAATGCGACACGTTTTGAAAAGTCTGTTTAGGAAATGTTAACTTCATATACAGTGGCTCTACTTTAATTGGTACAGTATGTAATTAAAGTTGATTTTAACTTCTGCAACAGCGATCCGGCGACAGACCGGTTCCGCTTTCAAACGCGAACCCACAATAGATATAAACATTGCTTCTATATATTTATAATGAAGAAATGGTGCCTATCTAGTATTTTCTGATAGTTATATAGCTGAATCTATAGCAATAGTAACAAATTACTGCATAATAAGTTAATAACTATATCAGCAAATATAAAAATGTGTAAGTTAACATACCGTTGCTCCTGCAACAGCATGTACAAGACTTTCATATGAGAAAACTTCAGCAAATCTGAAATCCTCTTCGCTACCCATTGTGAAGCAATACTTCGATCCTTCTTTCAGATTTCTGCTGCATAAAGATTATTTGCCTAGGCCAGCATAATAATACGCGGACAGTTCACACTCAGCAATAACAGTGATTTTTATATCCAGGTCATGCCTTTAGCAGCTTGAAAGAAGCGGATTGGTCCCTCGGGTATTTGTTCATCGTTCTGCAGTTTAATTTGTCGATTCTGACGTCGGTCAAGCGCATTTGACTGCCTACGGTACTCCTACCAGCCGAATGGACTTCATGGGTTGTTTCCGAGTTGTAGGGCACAGGGACATGTATACGTACAGTACCTGCAAATGATTTCAATTTAAATGTTACGATTTCAAGTGCTGCCCCCGCCCTCCCGAATCTTCCAGGATATCCATACTTCTCTGACACCCCTGCCAAGAATTATTCATTGCATTCTATTATGTTGTAGGCATGTTTATTTGGCTAAGACTGGTTTAACCTGTTTCGACTTAAGTTCATCCCAGTGTTTTCATTTCGCTTCACTCATTTCATTTCATACTCCTTCGCGTGTATTATATATACTGAATAGAAATCTGTAACACAAACCATGATATGAAGTGACAAATATACAATGTTCTCAAAGTTGAAATATTTGCTTGGAGAAATATTCAGCATGTGAAATGTGAACAAAGAAATAAATTACTCCTATGTAAATTGCCCCAACTTAGTTTTAGAATTTCACGTTCATATGAAGACGGTAAAGTTTAAACAATCTGAACCGCACAAAATGTTTTAGTGACGCAAACTTTAGACTGACTACCCCCCCGCCCCTGTATAAATTAAGATCCGATCATCTATTAGTCATTACTATAAATAATTGTAAATATTAAAGTATTCACTGAAGTAGTTGTAATCCTAAACATTCATTTAGTGCAACCGATGTTTTGTCTCTGGCAGATTTTTATCTAATTGCCATTTGTATATTTATTACATTAATAAGGCAATAAAACGGAAAGCGTCCCTGTTTACTGAATTTTATTGACTCTAAAAATACATACACTACAGCTGTTTCAAACGCTTTTAAAAGTACACTATTGTACAAATCACATTACTGAATCACATGTATAATTCAAATACGCTATATAATACAGCATGGTACTATGTACATAAAGTACAGCTTATTGTAGTTTTTCTGCTGCATCTCGGTGGCTCGTTTTTGGCAGTTTGTCATAAGTTTTGATGAGTCTACATTTTTTCATTGAGAGAAATAAATTTCTATTTACCATCATATTTTCTGTGCACGCAGCAGGTCGCTATAGCTAGAAGCAAATGAGTTACTGCAAGGCAAAGCATTCCCACATGCTATCATATCAAAATGCTATCAAAGTAAATGAACACCGTAAGCAGAGTACTTCATGATTACTATAAGTGAATTATTTAAACAGTATTTCTACAGAAATGATTCTGTCCCAAGCTTTTTGATCCATATAAGCGTTGATCACTATATATGCGATTTCCACTGTATTCCACTGTAGACTGTGTAAAACAATTATTTACCAGGACTGAAAGAAAATGAGAGCTCCCCTAGTGGCCATAAGAGTGCATTTTCCCTAGAGCAGTATAATATATGGCAACCTCATTGCTTGTAGACCACAAATTGAATAGAACAAATCAAATCTTGCTTATTTAATATTAAGATTTCTATTATGCTTCATTTTTAGAAATCCGGGATTACTATGTACCCCTTCATAGAGGATGGCATGCCACAGACATTAGTCTCTACCGCATTTATTTGTTAGGTATTTTTCAGGGACCCTCTAGTAAATTGATATAAGTGGGCTGCATTTTGAAATTGAAGCATTTGTGTTGATTACTAATTTAATAATGTAATTAAATAACTTTTAAGGTGAAATAATGCTTAGTACCTGTATCAGATAATCTGATCTATTTAAGATACTACATGAGTAATTTCTACAGATACCTGTACTAAAACTACATCTCATGACACTGCAGTAATTACTATCTATTCATGTAAACTGCCTGATTTATTTTTTTGGTTGTTAGCATGATGAGGTAATCTACCTAATAATTAATGTAAGCCTATATACTGGACATCATCCAGCCCTATTATACACTACAGCCATTTTTTGATTTCAGTACAAAATACCCACCTCGCAATGTGATGTCATTCGGCACTAGTACCAGTTTTTACACCTGTGGAAAACCAACACCTTGAAGTACTGAATGTATGATACCTGTTCCGGTAGAAACTTTCTACACTGTGGCTCAGTGGGCTAAGCCTGAGTGTCTGTAATCAGAAGGCTGCTGGTTCAAACCCAGCCTCAGCACATCTGTGGCTCCTTGAGCGAGGCCCTTAACCCCCAACTTCCTGGTTGCCTTCACGGGCAACTTACTCTACAAAAAAGAGCAAGCTGAGGGAGGTGTAAAAACAATTTCCCCATGGGGATCAATGAAGTATTGATTATTATTATTTTTAATTAAGTATTTGTACTTTTCTTTAAATTCCACGTCTTGGCCCAACTAATTGATTACTTGATTGCATGGTACACATGATTAACTGATTACCAGGATAGTCATTTTTGCAAACCTAGTTGTGACCCATTAAATGATTAGTTCTCAATTAATGTGTGGGAACGTAGAGGTTATTTTTCTCAGCCAGACTATAACGTTAACTCTAATATTCATTACAACTGTGGTCTTTTTGTCAAGTTATTTGCAGATTGACAGTAGAATAACTAATGATGCTGCATAAAATGAGTCTGCAAAGATCCAAAGCACAGTATTTTATTATTCAGGGTTAATTTATTGAGAGCAATCACTTCAGTTATTCATCAAAACATGACCAACTGTAAAATGTTACACATAGAAGCTTCATTTCTGAGCTCACCTGGATCTTTGAACTCCTTACTTTGCTAGGGATGGTGACCACTGCAAATCTGCAGAGAAAAGCTCATTTTTGCTGTTTATACTTTTGACCTTGATCTTTTCATCATTGCCCAAAGCTCATGACCATAGGTGTGAGCAGGGATGTAGATTAAACTGTAAAGCTGGAGCCTCATCTGATGGCTTCGCTGCCTCTTCTCCACCAGGGGCCTGATTAGAGTCACAACCCTGTTGTCCCTGAAACAATCTGCCTATCAGTCCCATCTCCCTTTCAGCATCACTTGTGAACTGAGCTACACAGTAACTTAAACAGCATAAATGAGGATAAGCCTTGCCTGTTAAATTGCACTCATTTACTTATGAATGCTGGTTACCTGAAGCAATTCTCCAGTGTCAAGCAGCTTAACTGGTATAAGTTGCTCAGGCAATTTACTCTACAAAGAGCAAGCTGAGGGAGGCGTAAAGACAATTTCCCCACGGGGATCAGTAAAGTATCTATAATAAAGATAGAAAAAAGGCAGGTCAATGAATTACATTAAATTATAGGTAAATTAAATACTTTTAAAAGTAATATTGTTATTTCAGTCATTTTCACCCTAATAAGAAACAGGTTTGTTCATATTTTAGCCTTTATTTTCGTCCTTCCCCCACAGAAGACCTGATGGGCAAAACACACCAGCAAATAGGAAAACACACCAATAAAATAGAAAACACACCAGCAAATACAAAAACACAACAGCAAACATGAAAATACAATAGCAAATATGAAAACACACCTGCAAATGCAAAAACACGCCTGCAAATGTGAAAACACCTAGCGGCACTGAAAACAGAAAGGGTATGTACCTACTGATTGTCACATGCAGGCAGTCGTAACTATGGTTAATCGAAAGGTACATCTTTAGGAACTTTTAAATTGCCCAGTTCACGTGAAGACAGATTGCTTTGTCTGTATCTTTTCACTGCAACTCTGCATCACACCCCGTTTTTCTTGTAATCTCAGTTGTTTTCTCGAAATCACAAAATCAAGTTTCCCTGGGACCAAATGGCAAGGCAATTTATCTTACCAGCTAACGTTAGCTGACTTTGACTAAGGTTGACATATGAAGACCGCGACCTTGTTTTAATCCTAAATCAGCGGGAAAGGTAACAAATTATTTAAATGATCTCTGATATCATTATACCATTGCATGTTTTACAAAAAAAAATTATTAGGTTATTCACATATGTGCCATTTTCACCACATTTAAACGTTTTTGGACCTTGCAGCTAATGATGAGGAGGTGAAAAAGTTAGGTTGAAACTATCTGCGTGGTGCAACCGATTATTTTTAGTTGCTCATGAACTCGAACATAGGGGCAGTTTACTTCCACCGTAGGCTACAATTGAACTAACGCTTAGCTGGTCTAACCCACTGCAGAAGACTTGTAAATCTCCGTATGAGATTTGCAGAAAGAATGATCAAGTCTGTCAGGAGCAAATATTCAAATTTTTATGGTACTTTACCTTGGTAAATGTTAAATATAAAAGAGGGACACAAAGAGGCTCACGTAAACAAAATAGCGAGAATATGTTGTGATTTAAATGTCAGCCTGTTGTTCCATATTTGAGTGAGAATTTTCTGGAACTTGAAAAATAAAGCAGAATGTACTGACAAACCGAATAACGACGCTCCATTAATGGTGCTGGTTGGAGGTTTGTTCCATATTGTGTCTTTAAATACGGGTTACAATGAATATTAAAATATATATATATATATATTTAAATATATTGAGCACGAATAAGTTTGTGCAGGTAGGTGAAGTGCACAAAGGAGTAGATACCGGTCCTGCTGAAGGTTAACTTACAGCGGGAGGCTCATATCCATCCATCTAAGTCTTTCGATTCCAGTGTGTATAGTCACATCCAATGAAGCCCATTTTCTCTTTGTATCTTTTGCTTGCATCTAGTACCTAAAGATGTACCTTTGGACTAACAGAGGCGTATTGACAGGCTCCCTGTCCAATCAGTAACAAGCACGTAATGATCAGTAGGTATATACCCTTTCCGTTTTCAATGCCGCTAATGTTTTAGTGTTTTCACACTTGCAGATGTGTTTCTGTATTTGAATAATAATAATAATCAATACTTTATTGATCCCTGTGGGGAAATTGTCTTTATACCTCCCTCAACTTCTTTTTTTTTTTTTTTGTATAGTAAGTTGTCTGCAAAGGGCAGCCATCCATTGTGGTGCCCAGGGAGCTGGGGATTAAGGGCCTTGCTTAAGAACCCACAGATGTGCTAAGGCTGGGCTTGAACTGGCAACCTTCTGATTACAGGCACATAGGCTTAGCCCACTGAGCCACACACTGCCCCCCGTTTGTTGGCATATTTTCTTATTTGCTGTTGTGTATTTGTATTTGCTGGTGTGTTTTGCCCTTCAGGGCTTCCGTATTCCCCAGACCAGGAACCTAAGTTGTCATTTATCCTCCAGACTCTCCATGCTCGTAATGGGCACTGATGCTTAATACCCCAATCATCACTGTGGCAGCTGAGTGGCACAGGCTGTCCACCATCCACCATACCGAAAATGCCATCGCAGCCCCCACTGAAATTCTTACTAGGACAGGGAACGGCCTAAGGGGAAATCCTAAAATGGCCGCCAAAAATACAGCCCCCCCAGCGCCCACCAGACCTCTGTTTAGCATCTGTAGCCACCAGGACCCCACCCGAGGATACACACAGGGACTCCTTAGCCCTTTAACACCCGCACAGCCCCCCACAGCGAGGAGCCCCAGGGTTTTCAAGACAGCTGGGTCCTGGGTCGACCCTAAAAGGGCCCCCAAAAAGCACCCAATGGCCATGGTGTCGGGGGCCCAGCTCAGCATTACTGTGAAGGCCCCGGCAGCTGCTGAGACAGCCATAAGCGGCGCCAGCCTCAGGTGCCCTCCTCTCACCACGTTCCTCATGGCCACTGCAGACACAACACACATGGTGGCCCCAATGGTGGCCCCTCCTACTACAGCCACCTTCACCCCCACCCAAATGCCCATTAGCCCACCTCTGGCTGCTTCGCACAGGGTTTCTTGCCCAATGCATTCCGAAAGCATGTCCAATCCATCCAGAGCTCCTGCCCCCGCGCCCGTGAACAGTCCCAGCAGGGGCACCTGCCACACCACTGCCACCAGGCCACTGGATGCAGACAAGGCTTCGGCAATCCAAATGGCCACCACAGCCCCGGCTCCCACTGCCAGTCCATAGCCACTCCCTGCAAGAGTGCTGAAGAAAATTGACTCGGTGCACTCCCACAAGTCCGAAGGTCTGGGGCTCTCCTCAGCGAGCATGCTGCTGCTTTTGCCACGCCTCCCCATGCCTTCCACTCCAACAGCAAAGTCTACTAGAAGAAGCAACATGAACGTCGTGAGCACGGACACGGGGAGCCCCTGTCTCCATGCACAGCTCCATCCCTCATCATCCAGCATCTTGTCTTCCTCTTGTCCGTCTGTCTCAAATAGGATTGATTCTACTCTCCTCGTTTGTTTTTCCTTCTCCAGGACCTCCATGGTGTAGAAGGACATTTTTCACCAGTTGAGAAATACAACCAAATAGTTCTTAAGGATTTCTCAATCCTTTAATTCCTTCTATGCCACTGGTGTTTTCTTTGAAATTACACATAATCACTGTCCATAAATGGTTGTCTTCATACTCTGCTTGAGCTGTTTAGGAAAGCAAATTGAAAATGGTGAATTGTGGAAAAAGTTTACAGATCCTATAGGTGTTTATGCATTATGCACACTGGCAGTTTAAATTGTGCATTGAGGAACTCAGAGAAAAATGTCATATCAAAACAAAAAGCTGAACATGAAATGAAGTTCACAGAGAAGCTGAGGGTACTTACTGAGGCTTTGGTGCCGAGGTGGCTGCTCTGCTGCTCTGTCTGATCGTTTGTTCGCATGTCCGGTGTGTCAGAGGGTGGATGTGCAGGGTGTTACCTGTTATACTTCATACCAGAAACGAAAACCAGTTTCATGCCACACACGTGAGTCATAATCTGTGAGGTATTTACTTTAACCAAGTTGTGTTTTTCATGGAGTGAGTCCCACACTAGGGCTGGGCATTGTTAAAAATCTTTCAGTTCCAGTGCCAGAATGATACCTTGATTTTGATTCCAGCTCCTGAACAATACTTTTTTGATACCAATGCGTTTTTAAATCAGTTATAACAACAAAAAGAATACACTAAACATTACAGCACTAATCTTTTATTTGAACAAGTCATTTTGTTAGTTATTGGTTAGGTACTGGGAGGATCATAATGGGACACAGCCTTTTATTTATATTTTACTAGGCTCCTCCAGCTTCAACAAAAGTTTGGTGTTAGATACATTTTAGAGCCCAACCTACCGCATTAATCGGATCTTGCTCTGCCACTTCCACCTTGTCTGCAACCCATATCCCTGTAATAACGTGTCTGCAGCGGGATCACATGCAACAAATGATATTTTCTGATTGGCTGGTAGGTCAAATTAATTAACTCGGTGGAAAACTCCAGTCTGTATGCCTGCGCATATAATTCTACATAACGGGACACCTCTCTGGGCGTTATCCCTTACTTCTCAGCGTGAGACACGCAAGGTGTGACGCGTGAGTCTGTCAGCTGGTTGAAATGCGTGTATCGCAAACAGAACGTGAGACTTGAGAGCCCTGGTTTTATTTATATGGCGCCGGCACAGGATTAAGGGAAAGTCTGACTTATTTCGACAAGTCGGGCTCATTTAAGTGGGAGTTCCATTCCATCAACGTGTCTTCAATGAATCCCCGCTGAGCTACCAAGGTAACTTAGGTGAGTGAACAAATCTGCTCCAGGGGGTATTCCATGAAAGTAGCTAAAGAAAGGCTCAAACTAGCGCCATCTCTAAACTTAGCCTCAAAACACCTAAAAACAACAGTAATTTCATTCAAGAGTTTTCTGATCTTCTGTCATTTATGGCCTCTTGTTTTGATAAATTGCTGATTGTAGGGGATTTTAACATCCATATTTGTTGTCCATCAAAACC